GAATGCGTTTACTTTAATTTCTGAAAATATTTTTTACAGTGCTAGCAATGATAGTTTAATAATATTTTAATGAATTAGAAATAAAGTAACTTTTTCCACCACTACTTATAAATATTTTAAACGTAAATTAAAGACCAGACAGAGAAATGATCATGCTCCAAAGTCCTTATCAAGTCCTTAAAAGGATTGTATTTATTTTTAAAATTTCGTCTTTCGTTTGCTGCCATTGATAAATGTATTTCGCACGAAATACTGAAGGGTACAGTAAAAAGTACCAAATATACTAATATAGGTACAAAGTATTATATTTATATATTTGGTGAATATTAATACTGCTCCAATACTAAGCAGTTTTAATATCGATTCTGGGGAAATAAGTGTTTTACAGCCTCTCGATACATACCGGACAAATTACTTGATAGTGTTAAATTTGAATTATTATGAGTTAACCACGAGCAATATTATAATGCTAACACCCGTATTCACCACGCCGAGTTAAATTCAAGAGTAACTCGGGGATCGGAATATCCACGGTTCAGAGTTACTCTCGGATTAACCCTCGCTTTTTATTCTCCAACCGTTTAAAACAGAGGATTTCACAACTCGAGTTTAACTCTTGGAGGAAATATAACGAGGCCTTTGATTGGGCAAGGTAAAACCATGTGACTTTGTATATAATATAAACACGTGCTGTTATATAATATAAACATGTTATTTGCTGGTTTCCAAATGCATAAAATCTTACAGCAGTTNACTTTTTTTTGCACTCTACACATCGACAGCAGCCCCACCTCACAGCTCCCATATCTAATTTGCGCATGCCCGTCCTTCTGTGAGTTTAAAGGTTAAGTTGCCACTATTTAATTTACAACCCTCGTATATTTGGTGAATATTAATACTGCTCCAATACTAAGCAGTTTTAATATCGATTCTGTGGAAATAAGTGTTTTACAGTCCCTCGATACATACCAAAAAAATTACTTGATAGTGTTAAATTTGAATTATTATGAGTTAACCACGAGCAATAGTATCATGCTAAGTGATGCTACTATCTGTTACAATAATCTCTACAGTTAACACAATTAATCTCTTTTCTGATGGGATGGAATACAAAAAAAAAACGAGTTTTTCTTAATTTAATAACGTAAAGCCACCGAAGAAGTGAAAAAATAATAATAAATAGAAAATTGAAAGTTTTTTTAGCTTTATTAAAAGAGAAATTTTCAGAGAGGCTATTGTCAAGGGTACGAAAAAAAAGTGGTATCCAAACTATTTTATTTTAAATTTATTGGAAGGTGGGACTCATAATTCTTCGCCTTATTTTATTTACCATTGTCTACTTTGAAATAAAAATCATTACTCAAATCATCAATCATGCAAACATACTAAAAGTTAATGTAGATTATTTATTTTAAAGTGAAAAGAAAAAAAGCAGTTCTGTTACATTAAACATTCCAATATTGATGAACCATTTTCTGATATTTTCGCTGCTTCATTAACTCCCATATTACTTGGTACTTTAATTCCAGTTTGTAAGCCCTTCAATTCAAAATATATCCCTTTTAGTTTTTAGCATGATTTCGTTGTGCTGCTTAGTATTGATTTTCTTCTTCTTTTTTTATTCACCGAGTGCGAAGAACAGGTATGCAGCTTGCATGATAATAAAGCTTCGATAATGTGATTTTTTTATATATTTTATAAGGAACTATGAAAAAAAAATGGTTTTGTTAAATTAGGACTTTAAAAAAATGGTGTGGCTGGTCCAGTTGGTGGCAAATCGCGGCTCCTTAAAAACTTAAGTGCGGCTTGTCCTCTAGCTGCAAACAAGCTTTATCCAGATATCACGTGGTATGGTATTTTCTTCAATTTTTCACTTGAGAGCCGTGATGGCTCAGAAGATCGAGCGTTCGCCTTCCAATCCCAGCTATGAATTCCGCATCCGACTTGAAATGACCCAATGCTGACGTAAAATATCCTCAGTGATACTTGATCCAGTAGTTCCATTGTCTTCTGGATTTGGTTCAAAATTACTAGACTACGGAGTTGAACATTAGTGGTCGTGAACTCAGAAAATTGGATCAGCTGTTCAACGACGGTGGTAAAATGTTTTACTTCACGTAACTATATAACTATAACATACATCTTAAACTTTAAAATATTCATGATTTACATTATACTGTAACTAATGAAAATTAAGGCTTTACTTAAAAAATACTATTTTGATCTTTGAACATGCGTGTAATTTACCAGAACTACAGAATTAAAGGTCCCCTACAAACAGAAAAATAAAGATTTGACTTCTTCCATCTTAATCTGCGGGATTTATGTCTGGAATTTTCTGATTTTTTCAGTAACTAATTAATGTTTCACGTTTTAAGTTTTAAAAATATTTACAATCATTAAGTTGGATTCTCGGTAACTTCGGTAAATAGCTTAATCGAACATATTTCAAAGAATGAAATTAAACAAAAAGTATTCAAAAGTGAATAAATAAGGAAATTTAAGACACATAAAATTACCGTATGTTAATAAGGAAGAAGTGGAATGCGTTTTCTGTCAAAAAGGGACCTTATAAGTATAGCTTTAAAATTTAAAATAGTACAAGTTAGTTCGTAATTATTGTATCTTTGTGAAGCTATATTTAGTTACATATAAAAACATTAATATATTTGTTTTCATTTTTATTTCATTGCTTGTAAATAAATGTAAAAATAGGATGAAAAGAATTACATAGAATCAATATTTTAAAGATTCAGTATATTTTTACTAATTGAAACTTATGTTTCGTACTAAATTTTATGGTATTAAATTTATGGTTATTAAATGGATTTAAATCAATTACTTTTTATGGGAAATGTTTTTTCTTTTGTTGTTTCCGATTAATCCAATAATGTCATCAAAAATATTTTCATTAGTCCAGTTACTATAGCATATCGAAAGGGTGTTTCTTTTGAAAATTTTTTACTCATTTGTCACACTATTATAAATGATATCTGAAAAATCCTCTGTTCTCTCTTGTACAATTCCCCCTTTTTTGATGGAAATGGGAGGATATGAGATTTTTTCACGCTTTATTGAATGATATCTATCCTGAAACGATCGAACTAATAGTTAAGAAGTTATAAGGATTTTGTGTACAAAAAGTACAAATTTGTATTTGTACTATTTGCATATCTAATATTGCTATCTAAACTGGTGATACATTGTTTCCAATTTATTTCTTTATGCTAAATCGAATGAGGCTATACACAACACAATAGCTTAAAAGTTGCAAAGCGGCTTCATTTACAAAAATTAGTATTTTTTATATGACTTAGTACACTTTTTCATTTTGTTATCTATTGGCTTTCCGTACGTGTGAGGTGCCTTTTCTGATGAATTTTTTTATGCTGATTATTCGAGTTGATGAGATAAATAGTTTTGAAGTTATAGGGGTTTTATTTACAATAACTGCAACTAAAAAATAGCGCATTTATGTAAAAAAAAAACATTTGAAATAATAGATTTTTTTTAAAAATTCATGTACGGTTTCATTCGATTGAATGAAAAACATACATAGGAAACAATACTTTACTCGTCTATATAGCAATGTAAGATGTGTAAATAAATGCTAGTACAAAACCGTACATTTTGTGTACAAAAGGATGCTCAAAGTCTGATTGTTTTTTGCTTGATCTCATTCGAATTAGCTTGAAAAATTACAGCAAAATTTATACCTTACATGTTCAGACATTCCCTGGATAACAATGTAAAGTGTATAAATGTCAAACAAGTAGTTTTTATGCATAATAACTCTTGCGACTTTTAAATTATGCGTTTTATTGACTTGTGTATAATGTCATTCGATTCAGTCAAAAAATTGCATATAAAACTATTTCTCAATTGCTGAGATAGCAATATCGAATTCGTGAATAGGTACAAGTACGAATTCGTACTTTTTGTACATAAATCCCTTATAACATTTTAGCTATTAGTTCGATCGTCNAAAAAAAAAAAAAAAAAAAAAAAAAAAAAAAAAAAAAAAAACGGAACTAATGTACCGAGAAGCGTAGGTTTTTTTTTTAGATGTAGTTTATAATAACGTTACAAAGCTTTCTATCAAAGAAAAGGGTATTAATTTTTCCAAAGAAAATTTTTAATTTTACAGGATTATATTATAACATAATATCTATTATTAGTATATCTATTATTAGAACTACATTAGTATAGCTATTATTATTACTTAAACATATCTATTATAAAATAAGGAAGTGTTGTTAATTTTTTCTTGGTTTTAAACAGTTTTTATCAAAATAAGCATACAGGATAATTGTAGTAAAGAATTACGTAATTTTGATATTTTTATGACGTAACATATTAAAATTGAAGTGAGGGGTTAAATTGCGAAATTATCCACAATTGATTATGTTACCATAAATTTTATAGCAAATCAAAATTTTGTTATTTTTTATATTTAGGTTATCTTGTTTTATTATAGTTAAAATATTTAAAAAAAATATACGAATTGTATATTATAGTTGGCGGTGATGCAAAAAATTATAAGTGTGAATGCAAGTTTGCTTACAAAATTTGCTTTTATTTAAAAGGCTCATTAATTATATATTTTTCTAAACTTTATTTCTGTGATAAACATTTTCAATCTAAATTATTAAAGAAAAAATCAAAACTATATTTCTTTCGCGGAATGTTTCATACTGTAGCTTCTGCATAATCGGCAAGTTGACTAGAAGTATTAAAGAAAAATAAAATAAAAAAAAACGTAACTTACTGATTTTAAACTTTTCATTGCTGCATTACTTTAAAATAAATTTAGTCTTTGAATTTTTCTTACATAAAAACTTTTTAATCTCTAAAAGTGATATAAGTTATTATTGTATCTGAACTCCACTTTTTCAATTCATTCTGGGAACTAATAATTATATTTTGATCAAAACCAAAAATTTTTTTATCTTATTATTACCTGATTATTTGTTTAGCCTTAATAAATATTTTTTTTCCAGGTATACATTAAGAATATGGAAACTAAAAAGCGTAAAAATGAAGAGAAAATTCCAGGCAAAAACCATTATACTAATAAGTAAGTATCACAAGTTATGATGAAACTTCCGTTTTTAGTTTGCGAAAGCTTATTTTATCCTAGAGTGAACATCAATGTTATTTTTCATATATATTTAATATTCAAATTTATATATATCATATTTTCAAATATAATTTCCATGTTTTCAAATATAAATTTTCTCATTTTAAATATTTATTTTCATATTTTAAATATATATTCATACATACACAGAAGAGCCATTACATTATGACCTCCCTGCTAATAACATGTAGGACCACCTTTAGCCCTCAAAACTGCTAGCATCCGCCGTGGCATTGATTCCACAAGGTGCTGATAGGTAGTCTGGGGTATCTGGTACCAAGCGCTCACCAACTGGTCCTTCAATTCTCTCGCATTGCGAGGGGGTAGCGTGGCAGCACAAATTTGGTTTTCCAAGTAGGACCGCAAATGCTCTTTTGGATTAAGGTCAGGTGAGTTTGGGGGCCAAGACATGTCTTGAAAGTCACTGGAATGTTCCTCGAACCAATCCATGACGATTCGACCCTTATAACATGGTGCATTATCCTGTTGGTAAACACCATCCCCCGTAGGAAAAGCTGTTGCCATGAATGGAACTATGTTCAAGTAGCTTACAGACGTCAGGGATTGTTCTATGAGGATTTTGGGTCCTAATGTGCCCCAGGAAAACTTTGTTCCTGGGCGAGAAACCATGAAAACCCGGGCGAGCCCATTGTTATAGATGGAGGGTTGTCATAATGTAATGGCTCTTCGGTGTATGTTCATATTATAATCTTAAGATTTCGAAAATGTAAGGGAAAGGTTTCTACGTTGAGATACTCTTTGAGACAATTTACAATTATTATTATGTTTATTATTGTTGTACCTAATGTGTAAAACAAAACTAAAAATTATGGCGAATATCCTGAATAACTTATGATAAAATTTCATGTTGTAGGACTTGCACTTAATTAATTAGTACCGTCGTTATTCTAGACTACGAAATTAGGCACAAAAAAGTACTTCCTACGGATACTCATACTTTTTTTCTGCGGATTCAGATTTCCGACTCCTGAAAAATGGGTAACCGCAATCCGGTAAATTCAGTCCCTATAATTTAAGCAAAAAAGCATTCGGAAGTTAGAACTTAATGCTAATTTCTCTTTTTTTTCAGTATTTTGCTCTATCTCAAGAACGTTTTTAGTAAATCAAGAAATTTTTGCGCGTAATTATAAAATTTTTTTATCCGAAGATGTAATTAATTAATTTTTAACAATCATTTATTATTTTTTGTTTTCGGAAAAATTTTGAATTGTAAAGCATTTGAATATATGTGCATACATTTAAAGTTTTATCTAATGAAGCTTGCCAAAACTTCTTATGATCTCACAAGTCTTCTGATTCTGCTGGAAATATTTGATCTCAAGCATTACATTACAAATTAATAAAATGTTAGAAGATTTACTAACTATAATGAAGATAGAGCGTTCGCCTTCCAATGAGTTGAACCGGGGTTCGATCGCGGCGTTGGCTGGTCGATACGAATTCCGCATCCGGCTTGCACCGACCACAGTGTTGAAGTGAGATATCCTCAGTGGTAGACGGATCATGGGTGAGAGTCCCCTTGCCGTCAGGCTAACTGTGGGAGGTTCTTGTGGTCTTCCTCTCCATGTAACGCAAGTGCGGGTTAGCTCCATCAAAAGGCAAATTTCTCCCAATACTCGATCCCTTGTCTTCTGTATTGGGTTCAAAATTACAAGGCTACGGAGTTGAACATTAGTAGTGGTGAACCCATAAAATTGGGACGGCTGTTCAAAGACGGTTATGCTCGCAAAGCTTGCTTTAATTGTTATTATTAATTTACTTTGAAATTTAAAAAAAAAAGTTATTAGTCCTAAAAATTAAAAAAATTGCGTACACTTCTCAAAAATTAGAAATACTCTTCAATGAAGAACTTAATAAAGGCAGTTTTCTCAAATACTATCCATGCTCGCACTACAAGAGCTATAGAAGACTATGTAGAATAGGATGGGCTTCTATTCTACATAATATAGTATATACTATGTTCAATGGAATAGAATGTATAGAAGTTGCCCATTGTCGTCTTCATATATGTTTTAGATTGAGACTACCATCTTCGGCTTCAATTGGAGTTTCGCATTTAAGGAGACAATCGCATATCACACACCTTTCCTGTATCCGATAGTTTCTTAATGTGGTACAACTTCTTTTAACATTATTGGCCTTAACCTTTAATTACAAGAATTTTTTTGTTGATTTACTTTTATGTCATAAGAAGACCTGCGACTGCAATCAACACGCCCTGCAGAAAAATTTATATTAGGTGTACACACAATGTATGTTCATTTTCATATCCTTGCAGAAAGATGTTACAATGAAAATTGTTAGCTGCTAGTGATTTTTATACAATTCAGTAAGCATTCATGCTAAATAAGTTTTAAAGTTAAACTAATTAAGTTTCTTTCTTTTTGAATTTAAGTTTGGAAAAAAAATCTCTATTGAAAAAATAGTGATAAGTCAATTAGCGAAGTGGTAACAATTCAATTTTTAATTATCACATAAATTATTGCATTAGATTTGTTCTGCTTTTGAATTATTTTGGGTATTTATATGTAAGCTAAGTATATTTTTAAATGCTGTCAACTATTTGAAAATATATTCTCAAATACAGCGGAGGAGCTCCTGTCTGTGGTGCAGCTTCAAGGATAGCCGAAGCAATGGTCGCCGTGTTGACACGCTGCTGCAAACGTCGTCAAACTGTTCGTGCAGACACTTGTTGTCTTGCAAATGACCCCATTTGTTGACTCAGGTTTCGTGACGTAGCTGTACGATTCTTTAAGGCCATGTGGATAAGTTGCCTGTCTTCTCGGCTGTTAGTGATGGGGGGTCGCTGAGATCCTGCACGGAGTTCCATATGCCCGTCATGAACCCATCAATTCCATATTCTGCTAACAGTAGTCATGGGATCTCGACCAACGCGAGCAGCAATACTTCGGTATGATAAACCGCAATCCCGGTAGGCCACAATTTGACCTCGATCAAACTTAGACACATGCTGGTAGGCTTTTCTCCTTCTTACAAGAGGCATAACAAAAACTTTTATACCCAAGAACAACGCTCAAATTCGATTTCTGTATGAGAAACTTACTGTCAAATCTCTTCTTTTATATACATTGTAGGTGTCGCAACCGCTGCCTTCTTTATTTGAATGCCCTGATAAGCTAATCATTTGCATACCACAACATGTTTTATCCGTCCTGAAAATTTCACGTTCGTGGTGTGTTGCCTTCCTGGTGTAGCAATATTAATGGCCAGTAGAGTACATCACCAATGCTGGACTTTTTTTTTAAATTTTAATTTTCAATTGCATTTAAATAAAGTCAAATATTAAGACACTTTAGAGTAACAGTTGTTCAAAATTTTTAAAGGTTGCGTAAAACTTGGATGTGTTCTGTGCATAAATATCTCTTTTAGAAAATTTTACTCTGTAGAGTTCTTGAATTAATTCTATTGTAATTTCGAAGGGGAAAAATCCTATCATTAGATCAAAATTTAGTCAACTTTCTTTTCTGCTGCCGTTAAAACGATACATGTAAAAAAATTTAGCAATTCACAGATTTTTTTTTCTTCGTAAAACTCCCTTTTTACCATAACTTAATAAACGTTTTTGTATTCCTTTCTAATCATTATCATACTTGGGTCATTTGAATATTTGGCTGCTGTCCGTCTTAAAAATATTTCTTTTTAGAAATTCTTGGAAACTTCAAATGATTTTTCTCTGTATCATATTTATCAACAGACAGTTGCTATGTTTTATGGTCCTTTTTTGTATCCTATCCTAAAGTCAATAAAATAATAGAAACTTATTTGCAGTTGTCTTTAGTTTTTCTAAGAATTTCGCGGATAGCAAGAATTTGATTTGTTGTAGATCTTTGGGATCTTAATCCACAATTGTAGTTTCTAATCCCGTATATTTTAAATGACAATGGAAATACACTTTTGAATAAGATATTAAAGTTTCTGTTTTAAAAAAGTAGGGCAGGTGGTGTCTTTTTTTCCCATTCATTATGTCCATAGTCCTAGTTTCATAAACTCGGGTTCGACTGAACTTTTTATAATGTTCAACCATGATCGTCCCTCAGTGGACTGATCGTTAAGACGCGGCTCCCAGTAGAACACTGAAGTCAAGCATCACTGGCTGCGGTCAGTGTGCGGGTGGGTGACCAATTGGATCAGTATGCGAAGGGTGTGCGGTATTTATCCGCGTTAAACTGTTCTACCGTAAAGTGCTCGGCTTCGCGCTCAGGTCGTTGGACTACCGAAGAGAGGGTGCCATCTCATCTGCAGAGGATCAAAATTGTGATGGCATGTCTTCGTATCATCCTCAGGGATGTTTCCCAGACCGCACATTGTGCAGCTCTAGTGCGACTTAAATAAACTACAACTACAACCGTTATGTTATCGTTAATGCTGTTAATTACCAGCATCACATCGCCTCAATATTGTAATGAATTGCTTTCTGCATAATTCCTAAAATTATTAAACAAAAAAAACTGGAATTTGAATCGGAGCTGCTGAAAAACAGAACATGTTACAATCCTTATTAGTTACATTTTTTTCAAACTACAATTAATCGTTGTTCATAATTTCGACTGTTTTCCGTTAGCTAGAGTGCGCAAATTTCAAATGGAGCTCTATACCGTCTGATGGCAAAGCAAGTTTTGGTTTTTCCTGAAGGTAACAAGCAAACTTTAGTTATTCGTCCTTAAATCACTTTCCGACAGATACAAAACTAAAATGAGGAAAACAAAATAAGTTTTTAAGATTGGTTTAATAGGTAAAAATAACTGTATTTTGGTAAAGCCAGAAACATAGTCTTCGTAATAAAATTGAATCACCGTCGAAAATTCTGACGATTGTAATTTGTTGTTTTTTTGTTGTTTTTAATTGTTGTTTTTTTTGTTTTTCGCGTGACAAAAAAAATAAATATTCTCATTCCTTACAGAACACATTAAAAACGTTGAGTGTAAAATTTAAATTTTATCCAATTTTTCAACTTTTTAAATTAAACGTAAAGTGTGTCAAGCAAATTTTTTTTCCATCCATCGTCCAATTTATTTCGCAAAATTTACTATTAATCTACAAAATATTTTATAAAAAAAATTGAAATTTGGTTTGCGATTGCGAAGTGAGTAAAGAATGAAATAAACTATCAATTTTAAAATCCTTTCAATTTTTCAAAGGTGTTTCTTTGTTATTGCATAGAAGATTTCTTTAATTCATTATCTCTACAAATTGAAATTCTTTTTATTCCGTTTCAGCGTTGCTGTGCGTATTCAGCGAAATCAGGCCGAGAAGCAGAGGCGTGACCGACTCAACGACCAGATTGCTCAGCTGGCCACTCTTGTTCCCCCAGCTCTAAATGCCTCAAAACCTCTCGACAAAGTTAGCATCTTGAGACTATCAGCGTCATGGATGAGGCTAAATTACAGTGAGTCTTATGATATCTTATGATATCGCATATTCAATGACGAAATTTTTGAATGAATCTGTGTGAGATATGCTTGGAGTATTTTCAGTACTTTTCGGTTAGCCGGGAGCAAAGAAATTCAAAAAAAAGTTTTTTATTATTTATTTATTTATATATTTTTAGTTTATTTCTTTTTTATGTTTTCTAATATAATTTTTATATTAAATAAATAAAAATAGTTGGTGGGGGTTTATATTTTTGCAAGTTCGAATTGAATAATTAATTAGTAATAAAAGTAGGAGTTGTTTTATAGCGAAGAAACTAACATAAAAAGATTAATAGAAGCTTATACAAATAATAAAATAATATAAAATAGAAAACTATTAATAGGAAAAAGCAAAAGTCTTCCTCAGGACACATCTTTTGCTATAATTTAGTGCGATATTTCTGAATAAAGAATAATTATCCTAAGATAAAAATTATTCTTTATAATGTGTCGATATCGCTAAAAAATTTAGTTGAAAAAGGGTATGAAATAAAAGAAAGCAGAAACAGAACTTACCAGCGTGTAGCAAAATAAAATGTGGTTTAGGTTTAATAGTAAAATACTAATTTAACAGTTAACTAAATTCGTGAAGAAGAAAAATCTTTAAAGTTGTGCTTACAACTTGAATCGTGCAAAATAAAATAAAAAAATATATTTGGTCGAAAAAAATTGAAGCAAGTAACGCTTAAGTGCTGCCATCTATGAGAAAAACTAGTAAAAAATTTTTTTTTCGAAAAAATTGTTTTCAAAACCCATAATATGAAGAAATTTTTTTTATTTATTTTATTACAAAAATATAAAAAAACATGCAAAATAGGTAATCGTTGTAATTTAAATAACAGACTTAAATAAGTAATAAATTATCTATTGGCATTTCATCTTTCATAGGGTGACTTATTTAAAAGTCAGAGCCTGCACATATGAATAGAAAGCCGTTTATAGACTTTATCCTTCCTTCATACATCCTTACATAATTTTAAAGATTTTTATGTAAACACGTTATTTAGCTTTTTTGTCAATTAGGATAATTATCTCTCCTAATTACTCTGATAATTGGAAAATATCGAAATGAAATTTTAAGTTTTTCTATATATCTTATAAAGAACACATGCTCCAAATTTTAACTTCATAACATTACGGAAAGTGAGAGAATTATTGATAAATGAGTGAGCCAGGTGCCTTTTACAGAAAAGAGAAAAGTTGGTAGGCTAATCCTCTGGATTCGCCTTGAAAGCAGTAGTATTGATCCTACGAGTCTCTTATCGACAACTTAGACAAATCACAATTCGTATGATGGAATTCAGCCCTTTTTAGAACATAACAAATACGCTTTGAGATCACTAATACAAAAAATTAAGGCTGTGTCATAAAAAGCTCTCTAATGCAATGTGCCACCAGATAGTCACGTACAACCTCTTTTTATTTCTATGAACCAACAATAGAACAGCTTGGAAAGATTTAATCATCAAAAATTATGTTCTGAAAAACAAGTTAATCTCTAAGTTTCTCCCTGAATATAAAAATTTGAATTACAGTAAAACCTATTAAGTCGAACTCTATTGCTAAGAACCTTATTAATCCCACATAATAAAAGAAAGCAAAATCTTTGTAACCTGACCATCTGTGTATAAAAAATTTTTTACGAGTGTTGTTAAATTCTCTTCTAAACTACCATAAAGACAAAAAAAATTCTTTTTCGGCGATTTTCTATGATATTGTTATGTATTAGAATTTCGCTGAATTGGTAAATTAGTATTAAAGGCCTACCTTATACCTAAACCCCTTTGTGAGTTGATCATATGGGAAAACTGAAAGGTTTTGTAACAGAAAGGAAAATCGGAACGTGAGACGGAAAAGAGAAAAAAAAACTGGTTGTAAAGCCATTTTTATTATAACTGGTTTTCTGGAGAAAAAAAAATCAAATTTTAACTATAAACTATTCATTACTACTAACTTTTTTGCGATTAAGAAGTAGTTCTTGTTAATATTATTTCTCAATGTTAATAATAATAATAATTTCTGTAATCCAACAGCCGGCGCTCTGCGCAATTAACAGTCCTATATATAACCAGTAAAAATTTTTTAGTAGTCATCGATATTTTATTCTTCCCGGAAAGGAGCTGAAATGAAATTTCTAAATTACCAGTTTTTACTCTTTTCCTCTTGATATACATTGATTTTTAGTCCTGCTGAAAGGTTTGTAAGTACACATCTATGTAAATAAAGCAGATTGTTTATCTGTATTTGAGAATGTGATGCACGTTTTACAAATCCGTAAATTTGGTATGTATACATTCCAACACGGGGCGAACCGATGCATGCCGAAGAATGTTTTTCGTAAGGCATGATAATTATATAATAGGGGTGGTTTCTTGCCAAAAATTTGTTTTATCGTACTTTTTATGAATAATTTATCTTGAGTTTCCATCTTAAATTAGCGCAATGTATAGTGACAAACTCCACCAAATTTGTATTTTAAAAAGGTATATGAAAAACCACGTGTTTCTTACAGTTATGCTTACGCTTTTATAGCATAATTCTATAAATTTAAATAATAGAAACTGGAAGCAAAAACTAATGAGATAAATGTGAAGTTATCAGTTAAGCCATATTAAGATTGCGGTAAATTCTGAATGTCACATTTTAACCAATAGGGGAGAGTGGGGTCAATTGTAACATTTTTTATTTAACTATTTTTAACTAACCAAACATCCAAAATATTTTTAGTATTAATTGACAGACGAGTAAAGTAGACTATCCTCTACTAGAAAAAAATAAATAAATACCTTATTTTAAATGTTATTATATTAGTTATTAACAATTTTTGACAGTCGTGCACTTGTTACAATTGTCCCCACTTACGGGGTCAATTGTAACAGTTCATAAATTCAACTAAAACATAGTTAATTATACATATTATCATAGTTGTGATATATTTTTTTATTGATCAAAATAGTAGTGATATTTTAGGAGTAAAAATAATAATGAGCAGAGACCTAAAGGGTTAAACTTTTAACTTTAAGGGGTTAAAAATTTTAATTTATGCTGTGAAAGGTGACAAATAAAATAATGCACATGCAACATAATATAAATGATATAGGAAACTATTGGTGGTTCTTAAAGAGTTAAGTAATGGTTTGTAAACATAAGATTATTTATTTTCAGCTGTTACAATCGTCCCTTTACTTATTGTTACAATTGTCCCCAAGACGCCATTTCAGCTTCATTTGTTAAAAACAATGCTAGTTAATTAGCAAAACTAATTTTTTTTTTATTGAAATGTTAATTAAGGTGTCCACTTACATATTCGGTTACTAATTTTTATTTGTTTAAACAAAATTACTTTGTTACAATATAATATTCTAATACCAAAAAAAGTACTTATATAGCGTGAAAATATCTTTTTTGATGTAACTCTTTCAAAAGTACATAAAAATGGTTGCCAGCAGGGGTGTACATGTAGATTTATTAAATACACCTTGTGCGCCATCTAAGAACCAAATCTAGAACCAGACACTCGAAATTTTTGCTCTGTTGCAATCGTACCCCACTCTCCCCTATAATTAAACTTTATTTAGATGAGTTGAACTTTTAATCAAATAGTATGAAACCGCACCGTGATACATAAAAATATGAAAATACAAAGGTTGTGTATTAGTAGTCCGTAGTATGGTAATATTAGATTACGTTTCAGAAGGCGATAAGAAACCTATTACCACAGTACGTATATTTGGCATCTATGTTGGTATAATTGGACCAGTAGTATTTAATACCACATTTAATTAAGCATCATTGGCATCAACAATAGTTTGGCGATTTTTTGTCGAATTAAGTACCGAAATTAGTACACCTATAACGATTATAAATATATAAGTGTCCTTACTTATATATAAGGACTTAACTATGTTTACGGGATTCATAAAATTTGACTCTTAGAGCTCTTAGGAATTAAAATGACAGTAATGTTCTGCATAAATTACTCTTATCACTAATGCTACCGTCACTATTGGTTATTTATAAGATGTAAATTAAAGTCACTGTGAACATTTATTTGTTTTGTCTTGCTTCTGTTTTTAAATGTTACCCGAAATAGGTTTTTAGTTGCCTCTCTATTTTGTCTTTCGTTATAATTTTAGGGGGGTTAAGAGATTTAGCAATCGGTATTTTTCTAATTTTTATTTATCGTTACAAATATGCATATTCAATTTCAATTTTAGTCTTTTTTTTTTAGTGAATATACATAAAACTAAATTCGTACAGTATTAAGAACCAAAATCAAAATGTTTAGGACGCTCGAAAACAAGTCGCCCACACTCAATTATCATAAGGTAAAAAAAATAAAAAAAATGAAATCAGTTTTCCGTTTTGAAGCGTTCATCTCTATATTATCGAAAAAAGTTACGAAGTTGTAAAATTAGTTATTACTTATTATTTTTACATTAGATTAAAAAAATTATATTTTTTATGAGTGACTGCTGTAGAAAAAATACTCACGCGACTAAAAATAAAAAGGTGCGGTTTTATTAAATTTATTAGGTTGACCCACCCTCTGTTTGCTGAGCTCACCAGTCCCTCGAAACTACTTACTAGGAATGTGGGGTCCTGAGTAAATACCCCGCTAGCAATGCCCAAACACAACCCACCGCACACACACAAGCAATTATAAATCCACATGGCTTAAATAACACCCCCTCAGCCCGCCACGAGGTTTGAGGGAGCATGTTTCAGAAATAATACACAATATGTATAGGGATGCACAACCTGCGACCCACGGTAGCCCCTGAACATAATATATATATGTATGTATATATAGCGTCGTTGCCGAGTGGAAGGATTAAAACAGGTCTTAGACCGGGAAGAAGGGTACAAAATTTGTTTATTAATTATTAGACAGAGCAGTCATGAGAAGTGTGTGTAAGTGAACATGAAAAGTTGCTCTCCTTGG